TTATGTTGTGAAGTCCTCAGACTAAACGCTTGGGTCTCATTATTGGCTCATGCCTGAGATAAGGGAACGAGCGTTGCGTAGGCTGCCGTGCTATAAGACTGCACGTGAATCTTTGACTGTCGCTTCAGTTGAAAGATTCTGAAGAAATGGCGCTCAGAGCCAACTTATATAGAGGTCAGATCCTCCCCTTTTGGCGGGTTGAAGCGCCATTGGTTCATGCATCTACACAAACGTGAACAAATCAGGCTTCAGTACCAGAGTAAACAGGAGTTTTCCCCCATAAGCGTGTCAACGCAATGTTTGTTCCCTTATCTCAGGGAACCGAGGTTAAGCTAGGAACCGAAGCATTTTGCGACCTTAAGGAGCGCAATGATTTGTTGCGTGATAGAAGACTGGTTAGGTACACAGGAGCTAAGTAGTAATATTTTGTAACTGATACGAACTTAATAGGTAGCCAGTGTAAAGATTGTAAAATTGTGGTAATATGATCATATTTTCTTGACCTGGTAAGGACTCTAGCGGCCACATTTTGGACCTGTAGCTTGTTTATTGAAGATGCAGGACAACCACCTAGCTGTCCATTACAATATTCCAGTCTTGAGGTCATGAATGCATGAACTACGTAGTTTTTATGCATCGGAAACAGGTAACATGTTCCATAGCTTAGAGATGTTTCTAAGATGGAAGAATGCTGTTTTTGTAACATGTGAAATATGATTTTCAAAAGACAAGTTGCTGTCTAATATAACTCCCAATTGTTGGACCGTTGAGGAAGTAACAGTACATCCGTCTAGATGCAAATTGCAATCTAAGAGATTCTGTGTACTGTTTTTTTTTTTGGTCCAATAAATAACATCTCTGTCTTATCCGAATTTAATAGGAAAAACTTATTGGTCATCCAATCTTTTAAATTTTTAACGCACTCTGTTACCTTAGATAATTTAGTAGTTTCATCTGGTCTTGTTCAAATAAATAGTTGAGTATCATCAGTTTAACAATGGAAACTAATCCCATATTATCAAGGGGCAAACATGTATATTGAAAATAGCAGAGGGCCTAAGACAGATCCTTGAGGCACTCCATTCTTTTCTGGTGTTAACTGAGATGATTCCCTTTTTAAATAAACAAAGTGGTAACGTTTGGACAGGTAGGATCTAAACCATCTTAAAACCTGCCCTTGAATACCCGTATAGTTTTGTAATCGATCTATGAGTATGTCATGATAGTGTCGAATGCAGCACTAAGATCAAGTAAAACTAGTAATGAGATGCAGCCTTGGTCTGAGGCAAGAAGCAAGTCATCTGTAATTTTAACAAGTGCAGTTTCTGTGCTATGATGGGGCCTGAAACCTGACTGAAATTCTTTATCGATATCTTTTTTTTGCAGGAAGGAGCACAAAATCACAAATATGACAATGTTTTCAGTAAATGACATATAGTGATGTTAAACTGTTTATAATTTTTCACTACATTATTACAGTCATTTTCTGTAAAAATGTCAAAATATTTTACAGCAGTATACTAGTCCATCATATTCATAATAACCAACTGGGTTGTTGTATCAGACATAGAAAATCTTAGAAGAGCGATTACAGAAGAACAGTTGAGTCAAGTTTATTGTTTTAATTGCTAAACAGGAAAATGTAACTTAAACATAACACACATTTAGAATGTTCAAATATATTAACACTTTCAACCATTCAGCATCAAACGTTGCATCAACGTTGAAACAAGAACTGACATTATTTCAACCGTATTTCAACGTTGAAGGTCGGTCATATGCCGGCTGGGTACAATTACTAAATAAACAAACAAACAAATAAATACAGACAGAGTACAGTAAACATCTATAGTGAAGAAATTAAGTGCAGAACAAATCTTACTGCTTTGTTGTTAGTTGGGCTTATAGCTTGAAAGCACTGTTTACTTTAAAGAATACATTTGTTTAGAAAAAAACAGTTCACTATGGATGGGTCACTCAGAATCAAAATATTGATTGTGCTGTTTAGCGGGAGAGCGGGCGCGGGTGACGTCACGGCCCGGGGTTTCTCTCTCTGTGCTCGAGAGCGTCATGGCGGAGGCCGGCTGGTGTAGGATTTACAGCTGAAATATGCCTGCTATCCCATCTGTTTTCCCGGCTCATGGAATACGAAAAACTGCATAGCGTTTAAACCCAAGGCATTCTTGACCGTGGAGGGGAAAACTCAGACACCCATCTCTCAGAATAAAGTATAAGACTGTTCTTGTGGAGTTCTTGAGCGACAGCGGCTATCACCAGAAAGAGCCCGAAAGCGCACGGGCAGACAGGTAACAGATAAAAACACCTTCAATATGACTTCATCCATGTGTACAACGAGATGGACCTAGCTAAGAAGCCAACCCTGGTTGGGTATTCACTGGTATATGTCTGTATACGGTTCGCGATGCTGTATTTGGCCGTTTTAAAGGCGAATGAAAACAAACTGAGCGGCGGATCTAACGTTACAGAAGCGCAGTGCGGGATTCAACAACAGCATGATGATCAGACAATATTACACTGAAAACACCCGAAATTCAGTCGGAACATCGGATAATAAGACCAAACCTACAAGTTCATTATTATAACTGTTTGTTTTAAGTGCTTAAGACTAGCCAGCTAAATTCAAATCAGAATGTCCCATAAAAATAAAACTCAAATTGAGGCTGCTCGTTTAGCTTAGCACGCGAGATAACTGGCTAAACAAGCAAAGAATATGTTAAATTGGGAAGATTCTTTCAAACTATGGTTTAAAGATTACTATTTTATTAATCTAAACTAGATTATGGCTTAGTGTACTCCAATAGCGTGACTGTGTTAGCGACCGGTAGCCAAACAGCTAACACGCGCTTCTCTCTTAGCGGTAGCATGCTAAGCTAAGTTAGCCTGTCCTGCTACAACAGAAAGAGACTGATGAAAGGTTTGAAATGTAGCGCCAATCCAGCACTGCTAGTGGGTCAAACGATCAAAACATAGGCTCAAAATGTGGTTTTATGATGTGAAACATAATTTCAAGACCCGATAAACTTAATGACAACAGGATTTTGTAAACACTCCTGGATATAATGGTGACCCGACAGTATTGCGCGCCTGTGCCCGAGCATAGCGTTGCTTCAGGTGGCCATACAGCTCAGGAAAGTCCGCGGCTTTTTAGGCCCGAACGCTAGAGGCCTCTGCGGTCAACATCACACAGATCTCTTTCATTCATTAAACAGTGCTAATTATTTTGCTTTACATAAAAGAGGTCTGAACGATTCGTCTGTAGATTTTACGTGGAGACAAAACGTGATTTGAAGTAAATTTTGCCTTTATCTTTCATTGGTGTAGTGTTTTGAAGAGGGGAAGTAGCGAAGTAATCCTCTCTAAGAAGCTTACTCCGGCAATACCAGGACTACAATATTGAAGAATAAACTAATAATATACAGTATATATGCAAACAAATGATTTTCTAAACTGCACACATGTGCATCCCTGCTACTGTGGTTACAATGGCAAACAAAATGCAGAGAAGTTTCAATTTAAATAGTTTTAGTGTAACGTTTCTGAAAACCAGCTATTAAGTTGTTTCAGCAGCAATGTTTTGTGTTCATCTCAGTTGCTCAGACTTCTTTATACTGTAGTCTCTTGGAAATGACTCAGTGATGTTTACTGTCAAACTTAAGATAAGTCACTTTGATAAAAACATTCAATTTCTCTGAGCTTCTGTTCTATTCACTTAACATAACTTTAGGTGAGCTGCTCTGAAGTGGCCCGCACAGACTGCAAGGATCTCATCAGGGACTGATCTTTAATATTTGTTTGCGATGGATGGACGCAGTGAGGATGAAAGTGTCAGCAACAGCAGCGGAGAGTCCAGGTAATCAGAATACATGCCATTTTGATGTTTAAAAATATGATACAAAAATATTAAAATTGTGGCGTTTAATCACGTTCATCTTGTTGTAACCCATTTTATTTTCTTCTGTGAGAGAAAAGATTTTAGGTACAATATCTTAGCTTCATTTTCCATACTGTAAAACTGAATGTTTATTCATAATGTCCAGCTTCAGAAAAGACGTCCAGTGAAGACAGTTTCATAGATTATAATCAGATCTATTTACTTTTGATGTACCGCTTGCATCTGGTGTTGACCGTGTGTTTGACAGCAGGCTTTTTACATCAGAGCACTCTAACTTCGTACTTGCTCAAACTGTTTGTTCGCACATACTATCAAAATAAACCTTTGCATGTACTTTTTGGGATGAGAGGAGTTGATTTGCATGCCAGACTAATGGTTACTTTAGTTGTCAGTAGCACAATGCAACTCGTATGATCTTACACAGTTTCTTCAGTATTTGAAATGGCCAAGCAAAGCGCACGACACTGACAAGGTACACGATACAGTACGAGACCAAACGCCATTTCAGCACCATTTCAACAAAACTTTAATAATAAAATCAACACAAAACAGCGCGACAGCCACTCGCGGACGACTGTCGCACACAAACAGAACCAAAACACAAAATAAACTCCAGGCCTGGTCTTCTCTCGTCCAACACTGTTGTCACTCCTTCTTTTATGCTTCCGGAGCTCCTCCGTGGGACTCGAGACCGGTGAGTGGCGCAGGTGTCGCGCATTAGCAATTACTCCACCGGCCTCGCTCCGTTCCCACGGCTCTCGGCCCCGCCCCACTCGTCACAATGGCGTCTTGCATTAAATTAAACATTACATTTACATAATACATAGCAGTTACCTTGCAGCCAAAAATTGTGCATTTCGCTTTGAAATGTGCAACAGACTATATACCTATTTAAATAAGTCACCACCTTTTGCAATTTGATTAGGGCACTAAACCACGTCTTGCATTCAATTTTAGTTTGTTTGACAGATGCTCGCTTTGCTAAAGCAATAGCACAAAACACAAGGTTAGAGACCTTTTATGTTGTTATGAGAGGTCTACTAATGTTTCCGGGTCATTTTGAAATTGTGGCGGAACAGATTACACCATGGCGGTCACCAGAGTCTAGCTAATGAATGGGAAACACTGAGTAGGCACTTCACAGGGTTTTGGGACAGAACCTTTGTTTGTAAGTGTTTGAAAATATCTCTGTTGTTGTAACTCCTTGTTGTAGTTTTGGAAATCCAATCCCAGTATCCTGACAGTGCAAAGGTCAGCCATGCTCAGGAAACAACAGCTTCAACAGCAGCAGCTCCAGCAGCAGAGCTCCTCAAACACTGGCTCAGACGAGGTACTGCATGCTCTGACTGCAGCACAGTCACTAAGTGAAAATGCTCCATAAAAATGATCATAGATTTGCAAATGCCTGTGGTTATAAGTCAGACTCGGACTCTGGCTCTGGTTCAGGAAGTGGCTCGTCTGACTCTTCAGCAGAGGAGAAAGGGAACAGTGACGAGTCCGTGTCAGACTATGAGCCCAGTCACAAAGTCAAGAGCAGAAAACCTTCAAACAAGTACGGTTTTCACATTAATCTTGGTTTACTTCTGCCATTTTATGCAAGGTATTTTTCACAGAAGTCCTCCATTGTTTGTTTATTCAAAGTCAACATTAAATCAAAATTCACCTTTCCTCTTAATACTTTCTTCAATAAAAAACATTTTTGTTGATTCTCACAAAAATTTGGCACATAGCCTCATTTGGACACCCTGCACATGTATAATACAATTCATAATGTCTGGCCATTCAGATTTTTAGGTACTTACTGATGAATTTTGATTGGCTGCTGGTTGCCTTTTTTGATGGATAAATATAGGCGCTCTCAATTGTGAACGTATTTTTTTTACGTAGTCATAATGGTTTTTAGTTTTATTTAGCATACAGAACTCCCCATTATGCAGTTCCATTTTGAAATATCTGAAAAATACTTATTCCTTCTACTTTGTTAGTAACAAAAAAAATTGGTGTGTATAACCTATGGAGCCTCTGAAAGAAGTTTTAAAAAGAATTTTGATTTGTCAAATTTTTCATAGGTTCAACTCAATTATGTTTTTTGCTGTGGCCTATGATGAGTAATTAATTTAATATCTACTAAACTCACTTTTCAAACTTAAATATTGTGTCCTTGTGGACTTTTTTTTTTTTTACCTGCATATTTCCTGCACATATTTTGTCAAAGCATGGTATACTTGGGCAGTGGAATTATTTAAGGGCACATACCAAATCTTTGTCAATGCGAGAGGGAACTTTACTGGAAGAAAATCTTCAAAGCTGTGGCACTGCAACCAAAAAAGCTGCCGTTAAAACAATTGTATCCTCAGCTTCCGCTGGATCAATGCTTCCAAATGTGGTTGTTTTGGTCTTGTTTTTTTTCCACATGTGCCTGGACCCTATTGGTGCGTCCTTTTGGCTGTTTTATGTAGTTTTCTGTTGCTGAATGAATCTCTGCTCATCTCCCAGGGCCAATGCCAGGAATGGGAGAAATAACAATGCTCCTAAGAAGAAGCCCTCCCGCTCCTCCTCAGATGACGAGGACGATTATAAAAAAGCTTTAGCGGGACCTCGGCGGCAGGCCACTGTCAATGTGAGCTACAAAGAAGATGAGGAACTGAAGACTGATTCAGATGACCTGGTGGAGGTGTGTGGAGAGGACGTCCCACCGCCGGAGGAGGACGAGTTTGAGACACTGGAGAGAGTTATGGAAATGAGGATAGGCCGGAAAGGAGGTGAGCACAAAAAAATCAAATACTGTATGAAGCATTTTTGTATGTGGCAACTGTTCGTCAGCTGTTCAGTCTGTGTGACATGAATAAATCCACACAGCTTTCAGTGGGCAGGACTGCTTAAATTTATGTCTTTCTCTTGAGGCAGAGTGAAACGTGACAACACGGTCAGCTTGGGAGAAAAGTTTAGAAGACATATTATATGTTAAGGTGTTGTCTTGTTCTTTTTCAGCAACGGGGGCCGTAACCACAGTGTATGCAGTAGAGGCAGATGGGGACCCCAACACCAACTTTGACCCCAACAGACAGCCAGGAGAGGTGCAATACTTGATGAAGTGGAAGAACTGGTCCCACATTCACAACACCTGGGAGACAGAGGAGACGCTCAAACAACAGAACGTGAAGGGCATGAAGAAACTGGACAACTTCAAGAAAAAAGATCAGGAGAAAAAGAAATGGTATGAATCACTACAGAAACTCAATTTCCTATAGGTAATGTGGCTTTAAATGTTTAGATCATGGAAATTAAGTATCAAAATATTAGATACCTTAACCTGAATAAATAGCAAATAAATATTTTCTAACAAAAAGTTTGTTTTCTACCTGCAAAAGACACAGGCACAAGTGGAATGTACAAAACATGGTGACATTAATTTAAGTAAATATAATGGGCGATATATTGCGTCACCAAAAATGATTGAGGTTATGTACATATATTGCGCGATAAGTCGATATATTGATTATTGCGACAGGTCTATTGGGAGCGTTTATTTAACTTTACTGTTGTCTTAATCTTGCAGGACATTCAAATCAGAAGTCTGCCGCAGGTTATCCAGATTACCTTTGTAAATGGCAGGGGCTGCCGTACTTCGAGTGCAGCTGGGAAGACGGTGCTCTCATTGCCAGAAAGTTTCAAAAGTGCATTGATGAATACATGAGTCGGAATCAGTGCAAAACCATTCCCTCCAGAGAGTGCAAGGTAACGGCACTCAACGCCGGTCATCTGAACAAGCAAATGAAACCCCGATCACTGTACAACCAGTTAAATGTTTGATTTCCTGTAGGTTTTAAAACAGAGGCCACGGTTTGTACCCATGAAGAAGCAGCCTCCTTACATTGGCGCAGATGGATTGGAGCTGCGCGACTATCAGTTGGAGGGTCTGAACTGGATGGCCCATTCTTGGTGCAAGTATGTCCGTTTCGTTTATTCCTAGTAGACATCACCCCAGTGTCATGATAGATCATTCATATAATTTCTCCCACAGTCGTGAGTGATTTCATCACCCCAGCGATTTAAGACTGCTTTTGTGCTCCAGGGTCACATATATTAATATCTATGTAAAAGAGAGAGGAATGTGTATTTTAGCAGAGCAGAGAGCTCATTGTTATATTTTCTCTTGCAGTCATTTTTAGGAAATGTGAGCTGGGCGTTCATTGGTGTAGATGAGGCCCATCGGCTGAAGAACGACGACTCACTCCTCTACAAGACTATGATTGAGTTCAAGTCCAACCACAGGCTCCTGATCACAGGCACACCCCTCCAGAACTCACTCAAAGAGCTCTGGTCTCTGCTGCATTTTATTATGCCTATAAAGTAGGTGTGCTCCTGTCGTATCAGTCGACTTGTGTTTTTTGTTTTTCAGTTCAATGTATAGCCACAGTTTTTCAGTGCAGTGCTACTATATGCAAGTGAGCTTTTCATGTGGTATTTTGGTAGCTCTTGTAAAGCTTTGTGGTTCGTTTTAAACTGTCAAGGCTAAGTACCATGGAGAGAAGAGTTAACCACATTCTTGTATTGGTGTAATACAATGATGACACTGAATGAAGGGCTGATATAAGCTGGCATGTTGGTAGATTTCACTCGTGGGAGCTGTTTGAAGAGGAACATGGCAAAGGCAGAGACTCTGGCTATACCAGCCTTCATAAGGAGCTAGAGCCCTTCCTGCTGCGCAGAGTGAAGAAGGATGTGGAGAAATCTCTGCCTGCCAAGGTGGAGCAGATCCTCAGGGTGGAGATGAGCGCTGTTCAGAAACAATACTACAAGTAAGAGAACCCCCAGCATTTAGAGTAAAGTGCTGAGTACAGTAGAGAGAGACGGCACAAACATCAGCATGGAATCTAAATGGATCCCTTTTTACTTTATTCATGTGATTAGTCTTGTCATTCTATATTCTAACAAATTATTTTTCCTGAACGAAAATCTGGCTATATAATTCCCACTTAAGTCCACTTTTACAATGAAATCCCCCTAGTTACATTTATTATTATTATTATTATTTTTTTTTTTAGGTGGATATTGACGAGAAACTATAAAGCCCTGAGTAAAGGCACTAAAGGAAGCAAGTCGGGCTTCCTCAATGTCATGATGGAGTTGAAGAAATGCTGTAACCACTGCTACCTCATTAAATCGCCTGAGGACGAGTTCTACAACAGACAAGAAGGCCTACAGGTGGGTTTTCACCTCCAGACGGAAAGCACTAATTAGTCAAAATTGTAATAGCTACAAATATAACAAGGTTATAAAAATATAAACACAAATATTTTATATGTTCATATATATTTTCAGTGTCACATCAAAATATATATTTTTTAAAGGTCACAAATGGTTTGGATAAAATATCATTAAAGGGGTCATATGATTCGATTTCATTTTTTCCTTTCTCTTTGGAGTGTTACAAGCTCTTGGTGCATAAAGAAGATCTGTAAAGTTGCAAAGACTATTGTCGGAAGGAGGGACTTTGTAGAAAACGAAGTGTTTGAGAGAGGCGGGGCATAGAGGACCTACAATAATGTACAGTATTTGAAAAATAATGTGTTTTTTGAACATTAAAGCATGTCAACATATTCTGTTACACCAAATACACAAAATAATGATCTTTAAAAAAGCATCATATGACCCCTTTAAAGGGTTAGTTCACCCAAAAATGAAAATTAGGCCTAATGTCAGAGGATTTCGATATAAGCCAAGAAGAGACTGGTTTTCCTTTGCTAAAGTAAGGAAACTTTGCTTCCTTTGCTCCTGTAAACAAACGTTGGTTTTCACGAGACGCACCGGTGCATGCACAGAGCTGACCTCATACGTCATGCTCCCAGAGCTGCTTCCATGTACAACTGTTGGCACAAGCTAGATTAAAGTGATTATTACGTTTTGAATATGGATATTTTTCTTACAAAAACACATCGATTCGCTACAGAAGGCCTTTGTTTACCCCCCGGAGCCGTGTGAGACACTTTTTTTTTTATGCATGGGCGCTTTTTATTTAACTTCTTTTGGACAGAATCAATGCAACACCCGCTGACTGCAATGATAGAGCTTGAAAGATCAAAGACAATTTTTAATATAACTCCGACTGGATTCGTCTGAAAGAAGAAAGTCATATAGACCTAGGTTGCGTGAGTAAAACGCAGCCTAATTTTCATTTTTGGGTGAACTAACCCTTTAACATGGCACAATATCTGAATTTTTGTTTATAAAAAGTTTAACATTAGTTGCTTGCAAACCCCTAAAGTGACAATTTGTGCTTACATGAGAAACTTCTATGTAAAAGAAAACGGCATGTTCACCAGTTACCAGTTGCTGTTTGTTTTTCCTGTGCATTCATATGTTTTTTTGTGAATTTGTGGGCTGTGGCTCTTAACTGGGGTCGAGAGCCCACTGTTGGGACTTTATTTGACTTTATACTTTATTTTATTTATACTGGGAAAATTTCAAGGTGGCATAGGATGACATGAAAGTATTTAAATAAATAAATTGTTAATATAATAAAAAAAAATAAGACTCTAAATTAGAATTCTCTGACTAACTGTTACTAAGCTCTAAGCAGACATCTCAGAAAATACCTATGTGGCAGAATATTGAATTTTGTGTTGGAAAAAAAGGTTGAACTTCTGCTTTAGTGGCTTCATAGTTAAAGGTGATCTTTTCAAAAGCTCTTGCTGGAGGAAAATCTTGTCCTGCATATAACCACAGCTAACCGAAACCAGTGGGTCAGCACTGACTACATACAGATTGAACTGATATATTGTCTGCAGCACCTCATTCGCAGCAGTGGGAAGCTGATTCTTCTGGATAAGCTGCTGGTTCGGCTGAAGGAACGAGGGCACCGTGTGCTTATCTTCTCCCAGATGGTCCGGATGCTGGACATCCTGGCTGAGTACCTGAAGTACCGGCAGTTCTTATTCCAGGTGATGGCAGGACTCACTCACTGCAGGTGATCTGGAGTTAAGTGCACTGTTTGTGGCTCAGGTGTGACTTACGGTAGTGTTTGTGTTTATAGAGACTGGATGGTTCCATAAAGGGTGAAATGAGGAAGCAGGCTTTAGATCATTTCAATGCAGAGGGCTCTGAGGTATGTGTGAAATCACGGAATATTAATTATTATTTTAAATATTTGTTGTAGCATTGATGCATTGTGAAGTCTAACATTGCATCACTGTTTGTTCAGATTAAATTACTTTCATAATTCACAATTCATATTTATTCAAATAATACATTAGGCTTTAGGTTCACAGAATGTCAAATTAAAATATAAAGAATATGATTTTGCTAAACTAACACAAAGAAATATGCTGATATGTATTTGTGATTAATAATGTAATGTAAATGAATGACAAATAATCATGCATATTCTGTAAATATTCATCATAAAGTGTAATTGCTGAAGAAAGTTTGTAAATTACAAAAAAAAAAACTTGAAAAGTTGAGGTTTGCCATTGTCTCTTTGCAGGATTTCTGCTTCCTGTTGTCCACGCGAGCAGGTGGTCTGGGGATTAACCTAGCCTCTGCGGATACAGTGGTCATTTTTGACTCCGACTGGAACCCTCAGAATGACCTGCAGGCCCAGGCCAGAGCGCACAGGATTGGTCAGAAAAAACAGGTCAGCCTCCACATTAACTCCACACATTACATGCAATGAAACCAAAACGTTCTAAAAATATTTACCTGATATATAAGTTCTGTAATGAATACTGGCTTCATTACATTAATATTGATTAGGACTGCACATTGAGAATAAAATGAAAAGGGATATGTGACAGGCTATGCTGTAATCACTGTAGGTAAGCAGGGCCTTTGGTGTTCGTTCAACACAGCTAAAATTTGGTCTTGGCCAGCAGCAATATCAGTTTTTAAATGTTTATCATATTGCAGTGCAAATAGCAATATATGGTGATAATTACGATCTCTTGTTTTGTTAAAATTGTGACATTTGTAACGTTTCATTGTAATCTGGTCTAACGTCACGTCTGACCACTTCTGAGTGTATAATAATAGTAGTGCTACTGATTAATAATAATAGTAGTGCTACTGAAAAATCACGATCCTAACCTCTATCTCCATGTTGAAACCTCAGTTAGCCAGACAGTGATTCCTTATTTTTTTTTTTTATTAAAAAAAAAAAGAATTCTGGAATGCCTGGAGACGGTATTGTATAATCTATACATTTATTCTTTAGAATTTAGTGTAGGCCACTACTTTTGATGTTTATGCAATCTTGTCTTTCAGGTGAATATATACCGTCTGGTGACAAAGGGCTCAGTTGAGGAGGAGATTATTGAGAGAGCCAAGAAGAAAATGGTGTTGGACCACCTCGTGATTCAGAGGATGGACACCACTGGAAAGACAGTCCTTCACACGGGTGCTGCTCCTTCCAGGTACAGCTGCCAATATAACTTATAAATACAGTTTTTCATTGAAGAACATACAGTTCTTGAAAATTATTTGTGGTTGATTAATTTAGTATATTTTTTTAGTGGAAATTCTGGTATGTTAGTGTATACAATATGTATGTGTATAACAAACTGTAAGACTGGATAAGATTTCTATTCAAACTGAGAGCATAAATCTAGGCTATCCGCTGCCATTTTCAAAGCACAATGCAAAACTGTGACATTTCATTCACTGACGCTCTTCACTTACGCTCTTCACTCAGCAGCGCTAAACCCGGCAGTGCACACATACTTACTTGCCGGCAACATGCCAAAATAAAAGCTTGCTGATTTTAAGGTTGAAAATGATGAAAATTCATATTAAAATAAAAAGTAAATATTAGCATTTTATTTTTAAGTTTACTATAAAATAATTGTAGTTTTATTTAATACTCCCTTTTCATTTTAAAATATAATAGAATTATAACACTTATTTTGTTTATTTTATTTTTAAAAAGTGCAATAATATTATTACTATTATTATTTTTTACAGTTATATTTAATGGGTCACACTATGTACAGTGTGAAGACCAAACCAAATCTCCAGGAGCTCTTGAGAACCAGGCTGAAAAACTTATGTGCACCCATGTATATATGTGTATATGTACATATGTAAGGTATAATCAACGGCTTGCCGTGCAATAAAGGATTTTAAACGCACGACGCGGAGGCAAAGAACCACCCAAAGAACTTGTGTGTGTGTGTGTGTGTGTATGTATATATATATATATATATATATATATATATATATGATGTGTTATTGTTTGATTCGTCTGCAGTTCTACTCCATTCAACAAGGAGGAACTGTCATCCATCCTGAAGTTTGGTGCTGAAGAACTTTTCAAAGAGCCGGAAGGAGAGGAACAGGAACCTCAGGTCTGTGGGATTTAACACTAGGGGTGGGCAATATACTGGATTTGGACTATCGCCTCTATCACGGTTATGCTCATGTGACGTTTCTGTGTTGCAGCATCATGAAAGCTTGCCATTTGAATGTGTTTTTAAGCACTGCGGTTTAAAAACAAGTGAAGTTAAACCATTTGAGTGCACTGTCTGTTAGTGTGTGCACTTAAGGCCACTTCTCACACAGTGCACAAGTAATGAACGGAGTTCTCAACTGGTGACTTATTTGGCTTAAATGGTCAAATACACACTTGCGTGTCAAAATGTCCTCTTTGCGAGTATCCCTGTAAACACAGTCGGTTATAACTTAAGCGAAAGTAAACAGTTGAAAGAAAAATCAGTATATTAGATCTGTGCATTTGGTCTTAAAGGGACAGCAGGCTAATAAACCTGCTGCTATCTGTGTCATGAATGTTAATCAAACAACAAAAGAGAGAAAATCTCTCGCTGCCCTTGACTGAATCACTTCTGTAACTTTAATAGGAATAAATATGTATTTAATTTATCCAGTGAAGACTATGCAGTGCTTTACATACAATTTTAGTATTTTTTTATTTCTAGTGCTTGAGGTTTTTGATGTAGGTTTATTTCATTTGTTTCTTTGTTCTATTGTAGGTTTTTGTCCTATAGTTTTTGTTCTTATTTTATCACTAAGTGAGGTTTAAGTAAACAGTCAAAGCAAAAACAACTGTATTGTGTGATGTGATATATATATATATATATATATATATATATATATATATGTAGTTTTGTATAGAACATATGTAGAATGTTAAATTTGTAATAAATTTGATACTTATGAGGTTCCATGACTGCATTCTGCCTCAGGTGTGGTCACATTAGCAACATTTTCGTGACACTTTACTGGTAAGAGATTACACTATTTTCAATAGTGTATCGACGTATGAAACATCGTTCACGGCTTTCAAACCAAGCAGCTTTCTGTTTGTCAGCACATTGAGTCAATGTGACCAACTTGAACCTGTTGTGATAACGGATTCCTATTGAAATGACTGGATTTCGTCAGTGGAAATTTGCAGAACAGTGATAAATAAAATGTACAGCAAGGTCATACGCTTTCTCTTACAGCGACATATTACATACACTTTTGTTACTATATGGATAAATCCAGTGCACTAAAACACACATGTATGTATATATATGTATGTATATTTATGTATGTATGTGTGTGTTATCGTGAAATAAATAAAAATATTCATATTGTTGATACACATTTTTAACACAAACATAGTCATCCGCGTATGGCCGTGGACTTCTATGAAGCAACTTATGTTTGACATGTTTGTTGATCTGGTAGGAGATGGACATTGATGAAATCCTGAAGAGAGCAGAGACCAGAGAGAACGACCCTGGACCATCGACTGTAGGAGAAGAGCTCCTCTCTCAATTTAAGGTATTCACTTTAAACCTTACATCTGTCATCACCTTCCACCCGTGTGCTGGACACCTTCTCAAGAGGCTGTCAGTTACATGATTAACACAATTAAACAATGCTTGCTCCATCTTGCAGGTGGCAAATTTCTCCATGATGGAGGAGGAGGAGATTGACATGGACACTGAGAGGGATGATAGGAACTGGGATGACATTATCCCAGAGGAGCAGCGGAGGAGACTCGAGGAAGAGGAGCGACAAAAAGAGCTAGCAGAGATCTATTTACTGCCCCGCATGAGGAAGTGTGCTAAACAGGTTAGCCAGTCATACAGTGATTAACAGTGCCAGTAATGTCAAATGCTTGGGTTACATCATGAACTATATTCATTCTATAAAATGAATAGGGTTAATGAATGAATGTTATGCTGGTCCATAAAACACTAACATACACCCCTAGTTCTTTGTACTGTTTTCATGTCCTTTTTTAAATTTGTGATGACAGAACAACTTTAATGGAAATGAGGGCAGGCGTAGCCGGA